AAAAAAAAAAAAAAGCAAAAGAGTGCAAAGGAAATACAGTGATTCAAAAACTGGACTTTTACCCCTAATCAAACCAACACGTTTTGGGTAGTTTGTTTTCAGAGCTTCTCATTGGGAATAGACTGGTTCCCAACTGAACAGACGGGTGCTTTCCTGAACGACAAACGCCTTCTAGAGAACACGAAAAGAACTTTATAAGAAAACAAATAAAACTTCGTCATTTCGGTTCAAAAAATTGCAAAATACCTGAAGTTTTAGACGGGGAGGAGGGGACGAAAAAAGAACTGTTGGTGAAATAAAAGAAAGAATTTGACAGTGTTGCGAGGAGCAGAGCAAGTAAACATGATTTGACTAACCGAAAAACTTCAAAAAAATAAGAGAAGGAGAAACCATTACACAGCATAAACCAAGGTTCATTGCAGGCTAAAACATACATCACTATGGAATTTCGCCAAATGGAATTTTTTAGCTGGTTTTTTGGTGGTGGAATTACATCTGTAAGCGCATGAAAACCGCTGCCACTACTGAGCTGCAAGTCTGACGGTATTTTAGCTGACAGGCGTTTCATTTGTAAACTCTTCGTTTGTTCGTCAACGAGGATGTCACATTAATGTTAACAACGGGGTAAAACTACTTAAAGGCATAAAATCTTTGTGGAAAATAATCAGTAAATGGCATAATGTAAAAAAAAAATTAGGTGCTTAGCGACACAAAGTCATGAAAAAAGGCCACGCTTGAACTAGGTAAAAATTAGATAAACTAACTTTCTGTACTATGATTAAAACTGCCAACGATTTTTCTTTCTGACACTTATTTAGTCGAATTGAAAAAATAAAATGGCCAGATACGTCATCAAAATCATCCACTTTTTTAACTGTAATATATGTGTTTAAATAGGGATCAAGAAAATGAATTGTTGAGCATTTTACTGCTGCTACTATTATTATTGTTATTATTATTGTTATCGTTGTTTATTATTATTATTATTATTATTATTATTATTATTATTTCTATTATTATTATTATTATTATTGTTATTGTTATTTATTAATTATTACCTAATTATTATTTATTGTTTATTGTTTATTGTTTGTTATTTATTATTTGTTATTTACTACTTATTATTTATTATTTCCTACTATTATTTATTATTTATTATTATTATTTATTACTTATTATTTATCACTTACTACTTATCACTTATCTCTTATTATTATTATTATTATTATTATTATTATTATTATTATTATTATTATTATTATTATTATTATTATTATTATTTATTTTTCTTATTGTTACTATTACTTAATGTTATTTATTATTGTTATTGTTTATTATTGCTATTGTAATTGTTATTATTGTTATCGTTATTATTATAATTATTGTTTATTATTATCATTATTATAATTATAATTATTG